GTTTCAGCTTTTATCATGTTTGTCATTTACTCGTTTTTTTAACAACATTGAAAATCTGCTGCTAAGCGTTATCCCGCCATTGAGGTGGCAGGAGTGGATTTTGTTGATGTTATTACAACAGATAAAAAAATGAGCTAACCTTCATGTCGCTGGCTCCCGGACTATTAGAGAGATCATGATAACGAAGTCTGTACAGGATGTCCCATTTTCGATATCCTTATTTTTGAAGATAAAGGATTGCGGTTTTCATTTTGGGACTCCTCTGCATCTCAGATATCTTTCAAGTTATATGAAAAGTAAACACAGACTCTTACACATTTTCACTCATACGATATTTTCAGTATTATCCTTGTATTTAGATAATTTTCAGTTTTTCGGTTTTCATTTATAGAAATGAGAAGAAAATCCTGAAAAAAATCGAGAAATGAACCAACTAACGGGTCGTCAACAATGATTGAGTGCCACGTGACCGTTCTTGATGCGGTGTCTCTTTTTCACCCATGTTAAAAGAGTGCGTAGTAATCTCTGTCACGTTGTTTTCAATCATTGTTGAAGACGCGGTCCCGGTAGTACATACAAATTACATCGAAATATTAATATACCGAACCTACCACAGAATTAGAGAAAGAGAAACAATGAACTCCACTCCATTAAAAGGACCACTTTTGTCCATGTAGTGGTTCATTTACCAACCAAATGTATTCATTCACTAAATAAATCGAAACGAAACTTGCTATAGCTATAAAGATGTGACTAATTAAACTTTTCAGATGAAAAGTCTGCAATATTAGCATACCGAAAGAAACACGTGATGGACAAAAGGAAGTGGGCGTTACTTCGGAACGAAAAAGACATGCCTGATTAGTGGTTATAGTTGTCTCTCGGTGGACCGATCTTCATTATGATCATTCATTGTTAAAAGTTATACCGGGTGATCACGATAATCAGCCACTCCAATAACTTCCATAAAAAGATTAGGGTGTTATCATATATTAACGACTCTAATCTATATATGGTATTATCAATATGGTACCTATACCTAACCTTCTGCATATTCTGATAGTTAATTTGACTTGGTTACGACATTTCTAGACACATTCAGACATTTTCTGTCCAAAATAGAGGCAATATTTTTTCTTCAGAATCCATTATGTAAAATACCTAACAGTGTGAAAACGTATTTCTACTATTTCAGAAATATATTTTTTCGAAAACTGTCATCAAATGTTGACATTTTCGGTTAAGATTACACAAATCATAAAAATTACCAATAATTTTGCAAGAAAGCGTGTTACCTAAAAATTGTAAGACGTTATTTTCATATTTTGGCGAATGAGCCCGATTCCGAAGGTGGGGACCAAAAAGTGGTCGAGAACTAAAACATATCTTGAATAATTGTTTGTCTCGTTATAGACTTTCTTTGAAAAATGTTCAAATTTACTTATAAATACTGATTCACTTACATATCTACTCGTTGAATATTAGTTGGCGATCATCAAATATAGAGCCTAAATAATATTTCTTCTGTATTTATTAATGGTCGAAAACCATTTATACGTCCATGATCAATTCGATCATATTCAGTTCTCGACCACTGTGGTCGAGAACTATAGTTTGAACTAAATTTTGGTTCTCGACCATATCATATCTGATTATCCCTCTTATGTCAAAGTATAACATGATTTTACCATGAAGTACCTATTGCAGCTGTACAAATTAAAAAATTTAATTTTTGTTGATTTTTATTGTTCATAGTTCTTTTAGGAATCGAAAACAATGACTGGAGCAATGACCATTAGGTTTTTATTTTCATTCCCATAAAATACTTGAAATGTATTTACTTTTGCCTCATTTATTCAAATATGCCATATTTAATTTCTATTTGGGGGAGTAAAAATATTTCACGCGTAAAACCACTGAAACTACAAAACAAATCAATTGAATGCATTTTACATCTAATACATTTTCTAGAACCAACGGTAAATAAATACTAGACATTTTCTGAACCTGATTTCGTTATATAAATTTAGAATATGTTGTTTTATTCATTTTGCCAGGAATAAATTGAAAATATCAAATTTAGCTTTCAATGAAGTCAATACAGTTCATAGTTACTAGACAATTGAATTACTTGATAGCAAATATATTCAAGTCGAACATTGGCAAACAATCTGTCGTATTTCACAATGGATAACTTTATACAATTCATTATCAAATGAGTTAAAAAATATACATGATGCAAGATTTAAAATCAATCTTAAAAAATACTTGCTCAGGACAATTTGAATGAAACGAAATGTGATAACTTTCATCTTAAGAAACAATATTAATTTTTCCACGGCTAAAACACAAGATTGCTCTTGTTTTATTGTGATCGATACATCAATGAGGTACTTTGTATGTCATCAATTTTATTTCCGTATCTAATATAACATTTGCGTTAGTATTTAAAAAAAAACTCATTGCCCATGGAATGTCAAATTTCAAGCAATGACAGCTCTGTCTAATAGATGAGCATACTTGACAGGAAATCAGATGGCTACAAGACGAAGAAATCGAAAATGCCGCTGTTATCTATTATAGCCGTAGAAAAATTATACTGCATAACTTGCACGGAATGCTAATTTTCTACTCGAATGATTGCAGCATTCGCCTATGGCTAATGCTGCAAACTTCATTCTCGTAGGAAATCACTATCATTCCGTGCTCGTTAAACAATATACTATTGAGTGTAATTCATTATTCAACCCTTCATTATATTTTTTATGTATTCATGATGTATCCATATTATAAGCAGAAATGTATCTTGGGGTGATAAAGACAATCAATCAATCAAACAATATTGACATTGCTTATGCTGTGCTATAAATAAGTAGGTACTAAATAACAAACATATCAAATTTCGATACACTTCTCCAAATGTCAGTGCTGAAAAAAAAAAACATCGAAACAGACGTGTAAAACGGTTTCAATTAGAGGTCCCGCTGATGAAGAAACAAATAGCAGGATCCCTTTAGATCTCAAGCGATCAAAGGCGCCGCTGTCACAAGGCATTTTTTAATTTTGTCACAGGAAGCTTAGTAGGCTGTTCATCAAGTTCGTGACATGCGACAGGACCCGCCCACAGGGATATGGTTCACTTCTGGGATTCATTCCAATTATTTACAGATGGAGATGAGATGAGAAATTATGAAACCCATACCTACCAAACATTTTGCATTCACGATAAATTTCCCATCTCTTATTATTTGCAATTCTACCAGATAATAAGTCAGTGTAGTTGACTGAGTTTAGCATATTTCAAGACCAGGGGCACAGAATACTTTGAGTATTCTATACCAGGGGCTTTTTCAGTGAATAACGGAGGGGGGGGGGCGAGAGGGTTAAGAAACTCAGACAAAATTTTTGCAATGAGAAATGCGCCGCAAGTGATTTTTTTTTTAATTCAAGGTCAAATCCCACTAAACATGAAAACATAACTCGAACATAAATGTTATTTTACATTGTTACTTTGTGATGTTATTCAGAGAGATGCTTAATGTCATTGATACGATTAGAACAATGTTGATGGTGAATATTATATAAATATATCAGGAAGGACATAAAATCAATGTTACTTCATATTCATAACGTATATTCAATGTTACTCAATACATTTAAAAAGTATTGTATATTAACATTCTATTCATTTTCTAGGAGTTTTTAGGTTTTTTCTGAAATCATCAAGACAATCATCTTTACTCAAGACATCAGAGAAGATGATCTATCCCTGAATATGAATTGATTTTACCGTACTCCTGAAATACTATAAGTATGATCCAGTTAGACAGGGATATTTCGAGACAGATTAACTACTATTTTTCTATGTATCATTTTAGTTATTCTGCTTCAAAAATCCAGTCATCAAGTAAGTACCTTTTTCCCGGATATATATCACATATTATATTCGGGAAAATATTAGTGGAAAACAGTCCCTGTGATAAATATCGGTTAGATTTTCGTTTTTTTTTGTCCAGCTTTCGATGATTTTTTTTCTCTATTTCCTATTTTCTATTGAAATACTATATATATAATTTTTTTTGTAGAAAATCAGGGTAGGGTGGGTAGGGAAATGTAAGAATTTCATTCATAACTCTAATCTTAACCCGATTTCATATTAAATATCCTAAAACCAGTTTGATATATCTTGTATTTTGTAAAAAAAAATTGTTTACATACTGAAATTAAATGATTTAAATGAGAATGATAATATGTTCTCATTATATATGTATTTTCATTCAATAATCAACAGATACCTGATAAAGAATAGTGATTTTTAAAATTGAGTAAATCATAGTACCTACCTACATATACACACTTTACTTTATGAATTTCATATCATATTTACACATACACACAGTACACAGATCAATTACTGATAAAATACTAAAATATAGGTAACACTTTCAGGAAAGTTTGATTCAGATATTCCATTCTAACTATGTGGAAGCAAGTAACACATACAGAGGCTGTGATTTTGGGGTTTTAAAACATATTACATCACCCAATATAATATACATTTATAGGGCAATTAAGGAACACATCAAAGTTTAGTACTTAATACAATAAATCATTGTTCCCAATTTTGAATTTTAAGATGTAAAACGTATTTATTCATATAATTATGATTGATGAGTATTCTACTCAATTTTGGGTTGGTGACCAATTTGAATAATCCAATAGGAACTGTGAAGTACCTACAGATTATTTTGATCAGTCATAGCATTGATTATTAGTCAATGGTGATAATGAGCATCTGCAATATTGAATAAATTGAGATTTCTACTTGGAAATCAAACCATATTGCACTGAAAAACCTGATAGGTACCTTTGCCCCCCTAATTTTCAAGAGCTCAAGCTATAGGTATGTCACTGATCATCAAATTTCCAATTCTAATATTAATAATCAACATGGCATTTCTCAACAGACACATCTATATGGAATATTTTTCAAAAATAATATTATTCTAATGAGTTTAACATCAATAGTTGCTTCAGTACTTTTGTTTGTGAAGTTTCCCTTATTTCTCCTGCCAAGAACATTTCATCAACTACTGTGTACACTTTATAAAAATTGAAAACAAGATCTAATTCACAGACATTATGGAAATATTCATTCAGGACTTCTACAAAGTTATGTATTGCTTCAAGATAACATAAATTATTATCATTGACATCTACACATATGCAGAAATACAGGCCTGCATACCTTCTGTAAACAATTTTGAAGTTGCGAAACTGTAAAAAAATAGGAGATGTTAACATTGACATAAACCTGTGTCCATGATAAACATCCTAACTTCAGCTGACAAGCTGATGCCATTAATATTATATTCCAGATTATATTCTACTCACCTCCACAAAATTGGTGTGTTTAGCATCCCTTACAGTAACAACTGCATGAACTTCTTCAATTAGTTTTTGTTTCTCGTCATCATCAAAGTTCATGTACCATTTGGCTAATCTTGTTTTACCAGCTCTGTTTTGAATGAGGATGAAACGAATCTGCAATATGGAATATGTATAGGGAGGCGGATCTCTGATAAATTGAATGAAACCTTTTTCAATAAATTTACCTGCTGAATAGATTTTTAGGTGAGCACTTACCATGTTATATGATCTTTTTTAATAATAATAGAATTAACTTCAGCTCAGTAATCTGGAATCTATATTAAAAATTAAGAAAATTCGAATAACACCAATTTTCACCGTTTGTTGGTTAACTGTCAATCTGCCTGACAGAATTGACACTTGACAGATGTCTGAGCTTCTTCTCTTTTATTCTCCATGAATGTATTTTATTTATAATGTTGATTTGACCTACTCAAAGATATTTAATAAAATGAAGTGAAGTGGCTATTGCACTCTGAAAAAATATAAAAGTGAAGATATTTTACATTTTGCAATTTATGAGGCCTCTTATGAGTATGAGAGTGCCTCGATGAATTTGACAATTACGTGGAATCCGTTCCAGAAACTGTAGTCAGGGATCAAGGATTATAAACTCTCTCCTTGGTCAGTGATCACTAGATGCGAGCATTTCAAGTGACATCGTGACTTGACATTCATTCGTAACTGCCTCTACCTGTCATACTGTCTGTAGTGTCTGTGCCCCGATCTGTGCTCTGCTCTGAGTGTTCTGTGCACTGTAGCAGTCAGAGTCAGAGCAGTGCTATGTTTTTGTTTATGAAGTTAATAATAATACATGCTTAATAAAAAATATTCAATTCCAGATTCTAAAGATAATATAAATTCAGCTTCAGTCATCAGCATTTCATATTTGTCCACCTTGTTCTGCGTTTTCTTTTCCATTCAGGTGTCCACAAGTGTTTTTCTGCTTTCAATAAAATGTCCAGACCAAGAGGTACTATGCAATACTGACCATACCAAAAGATCTAATATGATATACTAAGATCTTTGGCAATGATAGATTAATTTTTGTTTCAGGCAAAAAAAGAACAAAGCCAATTGTGGGTGACAAAGGGAAAGAGATTGTTGAAAATATGGATGAGAATGATCCAGTGCTAGTAATGTTCAGAAGCTATTCCTCAGCCTTAGATGAAAAGCATGATAGATATGAAAGAATCATCAAACAAAGTCGGGATATAACAATAGAGTCCAAAAGAATTATTTTCCTACTCCATAACACCAATACTGATATGTAAATTATTCCAATGTCAATATTGTGTATGTTCTGATTTTGACATTTTAGTGAATCAAAAAAAGCTGGTATAATAGAAGAAGCTGAAACACGATTGAAAGCCCTTGTTGATACAAATTTCAGCACAATTGCAAATGAACTGAAAAATGAAGACAGTTATCAGTATCATAGGGCTTACACAGCTGGTCTACAAGAATTCATTGAAGCCTATGCCTTCTGTCAGTACATAAAAAAAGAGGATATTAGTAATTGGAATGTTATGAATCAATTATTCCAATTCACTAATGATGAAAATGAAAAATGTTCATTACTTTTTCCACAGTATGACCTAGTTTTGGGTCTGGCAGATTTCACTGGTGAACTCATGAGGAGATCAATAAATACTTTGGGAGTGGGAAATGTGAAGGAATGTTTCAAGCTCTGTAATTTTGTCAGGCACATCAATACAGGATTTCTAGGTGATATTGGAGTGTTAATGCTTGCTTTACTAAGACTCAATGCTGGTATTTTTAGGTTTGATGACTCCTGGAAATAGAGAAATATCCAGGAAGGCTTATGTACTTCGCCAAAGCCTTGCAAAAATGGAACTAGTGTGTTACAATATTCAAATAAGAGGCAGTGAAATTCCTAAGCATATGCTCATTAGTGTCATTGAGTCATCCAATTTAGATGAGGGTGAAGATGAAGGATACTTTTGATTGGAAATTTAGTGAAAAAGAAATAATTTATTTTGTTTCTTTTTATATTATTATTCTTTTGAGTCAATATAATATGTATAGGTACTATCAAGGGTTGTATTATTATTATTATAATTCATAGCTCTCATGGAGTGTTTAATCTCTGTTATTCTGTGTAATTTGTAATCTGCCTCTTAAAAATATCAATGAATACCTATTTGGTTTCATTAAATTCTTCATAGATCTAAAGTGTGTGATTATTTAGATCTATGGTTTACTATTCAGAAGACGGCTAATTGAGTATTAATTCACATTCGATTTCCTGAACGCCATCTATGTGATGACTGATGAGACATTAAATATAACTGCCATCTGTTCCAACAAATCGGATAAATGTGATAATGGTGAAGATATGGTGTAACTACTGATGCGCTTTTGTTTCAGAAATTTTACTCGACCTCGAGAGCAATGGTTCCGTCGATCTTCTAATAGATGGCGACATTGCACAATTATGGCATCTGTCAGTTTTGAAATGGTTGCAGATTTTTCAAATTCAGAGTTGAATAATCCCACTGTTACATATGTTCCGCCGAGTGTTCCGCATACCTAAAATGCCATTTGATTTCCACTCGTCACAGCAGCAATGGCATCATCACCATCTAGCGGAAAAATGTAGAATCAACGTCTCGCTCGTTGTGACGTAGAGAAATCATAGTAGGGCGGTCGAGTGATTTTTATGAAATTTTCAATACCTTATAATGGCCGAATACCATATACGTATTAATAATCAATACGGATAATCTCTATCTGTTTCCATAGCGAAACATGAAGCCGATTTTTGAAGACAAATGACTATCCATAAGGAAAAGTTTTGAAACGATCAGACACATACTGCTTTGATTGAAAGGCTAGTAAACGTCATTGTCCACCGAAACGCATGTCTTTGATGACTACTATAATAGCGCATGGCGCATGCGTATCATGCCACCAAATCCTTATGGATATTCATTTGTTTCATATTTTTTGCTTCATCCTGGCACCCGTTATGATCCGTATTGTTTATTAATACGTATATGCCGAATACGCACACCATATCCTACTTCCATCATAAATGTAATGGAGAGGAAGTAGCCATTCGTGGGCAGGTTTCTGTTCGTGTACATGAATGTTGTGACAATGTTATATAAAACGTTGATAGGTGCCGCTAGACATCTAACACAGGCAAGGTTGGTAGAGCTGATGATTGTTTTGATATCATCAGTTCTACAAACCTTGTAATACAGTGACTGATGCAGTCACTTTACAACCAAAGAATAAAAGACATTTTTTCTCGAAGTTAACCACACAAACCGGGTCAACAATAAGTTAACCAGTCAATTTTCCTCGAAGTGTATTCCAAACTATGACGTAAAAGTTAACCAACCACACAAACCAGCTCACTGAGGTAGTTCATGGAGCAGTTAAGGATTTTGATTGGGCACTGGATTAGACTCTTGTTGTTGTAATAATCTGATACCTTGAATCTGAGGTTATAATTGATGAGAAAAAATAATTATACTTCACAACGAGATAAATTATGGATTCATTCATACGAAGTATTTTTCAATGAGAGCTCTCATCATATTAAATTGATGTAAAGATATAATTGAATTATTGTGAATATGTACCAGTCGCATTAAAAAAAAGCGTACAAGTATATTACAGAGAGAAATTAACGTCATCCTATTCTACATAAATCGTGCTATCGGGAATGATTGTTCTGGCAAATAAAGTTCATATAAACATGTGTCGTAATTTGCTCCGTTTTTGAGATACATGATGTTGAAGTTGAAAGTATTAATCATTTTTATTTATAACCCCCCTGTATAAGCTTTCATGGTGCAAAAATTCAGGATGGATGGAGGCTGAAAAAGCCACAAAATTTCAGAATGATTCTAATTGGGGTTATTGAGTAATCTCAATGGAAGTCTTGAAAACACCTTCATTAAAATTTGGAGTCAAATCGAATTTGTATTGTTTTCCTCAAAAAGTTAGCTAGATACAAAAATCACACATAGGATAAAAAGTTGTTATTTCAATAGTTCAATCTAATAAAAATATGAAACTCAGAAAACTTGATGGTGGTGTACAATGAAATTCACCATGAATATTGATAAATTTATCCACTGTGACGCCACTGGAAATTATTTTGAATCTAATTGCACTAGATGAAGCTCCATATTACTATTAACAAAACCACAACGTTTTATTGAAATTGCTGAAAAGACAATTCAGAAATAATAATAATAATTATAATCGGTGTTATTTAGATACACCCTGTATACCCAAAACCCATAATTTCGGAGATACCTTCAAAGGGCTCTAGCGCACTTAGGTAGGTATCATTTTCGGACACAACATGTTGATAAGAACAGAATAATCTTCCAGAGTATACGAACGTTATTCTAGGACACCCTGTATAGGTACCTATAATATGTCATGAACACTGAGTAAACAATATCCAGCAAAACATGCATTTTTACGGTTGTGAACAAATGAGTAGGAATTCCGATGTTTAATGAGTTGGTATATAAATTGAAATTTTATCACTAAACTTCTATATACCAAGGTGACGCACCTATTGCTACAGTAGGTAGATTTTTGTTGTTCAACATCAACAGGTAAGTGCCTAGGTATATTTCTAAACTATATACATATACTTAATTTAGTCAAATTACCATTTCTCACATGTTCTCAATTCCCATTTCCTTCGAATTATTTTGTGTAAGTTAGCAGATAGGTTATAATCTAATTTTCAGAATTATGGGATCTTATCGAATAGAGGGACTATGACATCGTAGAAAAAGTATAGTATGTAACTCAATCATAAACTCTTCTAGACACTCGTTTATTGAACACTCGCTCAGTTCTGCTGCGCTCGTGCTTAAAATACTCGTTACTAAAATGACGTTCATAACACTTGTTACATAATATACTATATTAATGATTGGGGTAATATTTGATATTTTTCCTACTGGCTACACAAATCAATGAGGTACTTCGTATATGTCATCAATTTCATTTCCGTATCTGATATCACAATGACTTCATTGTGTATTATTTCACAAATCTCATCTCCCAAGCAATGACAGCGCTGTTTAATAGATGAGCATTAGTTAAGAGAAAATCAGATGGCTACAACCCTAAGAAATCAAGAATTTTGCTGTTATCTGTTACAGCAATAGAAAAACTATATTTTCATACAGGTATACTTATTGTTCAACCAATAATGCCCTAAAATGTTTTAGATCTTTTTGGTGATCATATCATGATGAAAATCAGTGCCCTTCTTACGGAGACAGAGGATATTCTGGACAAATTAGAAGGAAAACGGAACTCCCAGGAGTCTACCATCCAGATTTTCGTACAGACATCAGTTGCAAAATCGTCATATGTAGTCCGCCCAGATGATTTGGTGTCAACGCTGAAGAAGTTGATATCACTCGATCAGAAAATTCCCCCTCGTAGACAGGATTTGTATTTCAAAGATGTGTTGCTTCAAGACAGCCATACCTTAGCAGCTTATAGCATTCAGAGTGGAACGACTTTGAGTCTACAACAAAAATAGGCAGCAACTACTTATTTTGATGTCACCCTGTATATCTAGTATTCCGTAATTATGTTACTGAATACTGACGCAGTGTCGAGACTGTTGTGAATGGAAAAAGTGACAGCACAGTATATCGAAAAGATATAGAACCACAATTTGTAGAAATTCATCGCATAATAATAGATAGATAGATTTATTGGTCATGATATGTATACAATACATTTACGACAAGTCACAATAACAAAAAAGTGTAGAATAGAATAGAATAGAATACATTTATTGCTTCAAAAATATACATTTTATAGCAAGGGTTCGAAAGTACAGGTGCAAACATATATGAATATTGAACATAACTAGATGCAAAAAAGATATTGAGGATATAGAAAATTACATAAAAAAAAAATACATACAATACTAATGGTTAACAAGTGAGAAGATTGATCAAAGTAAAGGTGGTACATAATAGTGAGAGAAAACTCATTCATTCATCACGAAAGAACGGAGTTTCAAGATGTTCCAGATATATAGTTGGATATGACCTTGGCAGATTTTGTGGAAATATTATCGAGGGAATAGATAAGATTGTAAAAAAAGTGTATAGATATATAAAATGGAAAAATTATAGTAATCAATTTAAGTGTATACCGGGTGTCAACGAATCTATTAGACAAGTCATAACTTCTAGACCATTAGGTGTATTAAAATGAGAATTTGGTATAGGTAAATGGTATGTGGAGAGGAGAGTTTTCACATAATTTTCAATTTCCGGTCACTTCCTGTTTCACCGGAAATGGCTCCGGTTCTAAATTTTTAAATGTATAATGTAACATTTTTGGATTTCTGAGACAATTCTAGATCAGAATGTGACATTTTCGAAAGTTTTCATGCCTACTTGATTTTTTCGGAGTCACTTCTGAAATTACATATAGGTGGCCATGATCGGAAGTAAACTAATCTATAAGGACCTCAGATGATATCAGGAAATTACAATCGCGAAGTTTTAGTATTTTCGTCAGTAATATTCAATTTATGTTCTTATTTGTAATCCAATCGCAAATAAATTAGTATCGTTAGATTCGTCAAAATATCCTTTTTTCGGAAAGTGTTTGTCAAAAAATGGCCGCCATTTGAAAAATAATAGTTAGACACGAAAATGTAATTTTGCCAACTTGTCTCATTTATATCTATCAAACTTGTCACTAAAACTTCGCGATTGTGATTTTCTGATATCACCTGAGGTCCATAGATTAGTTTACTTCCAATCATGGCCACCTAGATGTAATTTCAAAAGTGACTCCGAAAAAATTGAGTAGGCATAAAAACTTTCGAAAATGTCACATTCTGATCTAAAATTATCTCAGGAATCTAAAAATGTTACAATATGAAGGGTGTTCCATTTAAAAATTTTGAACCGGAGCCATTTCCGGTGAAACCGGAAGTGATCGGAAAGTGAAAAATATGTGAAAACTCTCCTCTTCACATACCATTTACCCATACCAAATCTCATTTTGATACATCTCATGATCTAGAAGTTATGACTTGTCTAATAGATTCGTTGACACCCGGTATATGAAATCATACATTTATCAAGTAATTAAAAGGTCAATAAAAATAAAATCAGTACAAATCAGGCATCAATGAAGTTGATTTTCTGTGATT